ATGGGGTCAATACACAAGAAGGGGGAGGGGAATGGAAGAACAAGGTGGATGGGAGAAGAGTTAGTCAAGTTCACATGGGCTAAGTGGGACAGAGGTAAATAATGATGTATGCACTACCTTTGAATAACAGGGCTCTGGGATACAGGGATTGAGGCATGTTTGGAAAGGGCAAAAAGGAGGGAAACAATGTTAAGATGCTTGGCTGTCTTTTGAATCTTGACTTCCCTGGCATACCATTATAAAATAGACACTTGATGGGGAGAGAAAGGAATAACCAGAAATATCGCCATAGAAAGCTTGTAAGTCCGTCTTCTGCCTATAACTGATTGGAATACCTAAAACGGTAAACAGTATATCGGAGGGAACAGCACATCAACACTAGTGCAGTATGCATGCCATAGAGTAGTCAAACCATTCAAGATCAATAGGGCAGCATTTACCTAAGGAAACAATTCAAAAGGGTTAGGAAAGAAGGAAGAATGGAAACAAGAATCAAAGGGATGAAGTGGGAGAACTGATGTTGCATTCATGGAATTGTAGTCATTGAAATAAAGTGAATGATGTGTTGGATGTAAAACTGATGATCTGCTTTGTAAACCTTCACTCAATTCACAATAAAAAGTTAAACAAGAAAAAAAGGCATTGGTACTAGAGTTCCAGTTCATGCATGATAGGGTTTATTCCAAACAAAAGTTATTTAAACATGCATATCTCTGCCATCAATGGATGGCTGCAAACAAGTTCTCTCAGTAATACACTTATCTTAGTCCCATTAGGGCATGTCATGGATTGAACTGTGTCTCCCCAAAATTTGTGTCAGCTTGACTGGGTCATGATTCTCAGTGGTTTGGGAGTTATAATTTCCTATCATGTGATCTGATGTCATAAACCAATAAAAGGATTAATAGTGGGATGTTGTCGTTGTTGTTATGTGACGTGGAGTCGATTCCAACTCATAGCGACCCTGTACAGGGTTTCCAAGGCTGTAAATCTTTACATGAGCAGAACGCCTCATCTTTCTCCCGCGGAACAGCTGGTAGTTTCGAACTGCTGGCTGTGAGATTAGCAACCTGATTTGTAACCACTATGCTCCACGTTTAATCTTATCATGATCCTGTTCCACTGTAAAGGAGAGTCCCATGGGTGTGGCATGCAGAACCTTTTATCTTACAAGAGATAAAAGGAGAGAGAGAGTAAGCCAAAAAGAGCCAGGAAAGAAGAGCTGGGAGTGAAGTACATCTTTTAGATCTGGGGTCCGTGTTCTGTGAAGCTCTTTGTTGCTTTAAGGTGCTGTCAAGTCAATTTCAACTCATAGCGACCCTATGCACAACAGAACAAAACACTGCCCAGTCCTGTGTTCTCCTCACAATTGTTACATTTGATCCCATTGTTGCTGTCACCCTGTCAGTCCATCTTGTTGGGGTGGGTCTTCCTCTTTTTCGCTGACTTTCTTTTCAAGCATGATATCCTCTCCAAGGACTGGCCCCTCCTTATTAACATGTCAGAAGTCTCACCATCTGAGTTTCTAAGGAGCATTCTGGCTGTACATCCAACACAGATTTGTTTGTTCTTCTGGTAGACCATGGTACTTTTAATATCCCTCTCCAACACCACGATTCAAATGCATTGATTCTCGTATGGTCTTCCTTAATCATTGTCCAACTCTCATAATACTATGAGGCAATTGAGGCCTTGGGTCAGGTGCACTTTAGTCCTCAAAGCTCTTTAACATTTTAGAGAGGTTTTTTGCAGCATATGTGCCTAATGCAATCCGTCATTTGATTTCTTGACTGCAATTTCCATGCATGTTGATAATGGATCCAAGCAAAATGAAGTCTTGGACAACTTCAATCTTTTCTCCATTTATCATAACGTTATTTATTGGTCCAGTGGTGAGGATTTTTGTTTTCTTTACATTAAGATGCAATCTATACTGAAGGCTGTAATCTTTGATCTTCATCAATAAATATTTTATGTCCTCTTTGCTTCCAGCAAGCAAGGTTGCATCATCTGCATATTGGAGGTTATTAATGAGTCTTCCTCCAATCCTGATGTCATGTTCTTCTTCATATAATCCAACTTCTCCGATTATTTGCTCAGCATACAGATTGAATAAGTATAGTGAAAGGATACAAGCCTGTGGTGTACACTTTTCCTAATTTCAGTATCCTCTTCTAACAACTGTCTCTTAATCTATGTACAGATTCCTCCTGAACACAATTAAGTGCTTTGGAATACACATTCTTCACAATGTTCACCATAGTTTGTCATGATTCACACGGTCAAAAGCTTTTGCATAGTCAATAAAACACAAGCAAACATCTTGGAGTGTGATGGCTCTGTAGGATAAGCACTGAATTTTGAACCACAAGATCAGGGGTTCAGGTTCATCAGCAGCTCCAGGGAAGAAAGGCTGCAAAGATTTACAACTTTGGATGCATTATGAGTCACTATACGCTCGGGTCACTCTGAGTCGGAACTGACTCAATAGCACTTAACAACAAGAAGAAGCATCTTTCTGATATTCTCTGCTTTCAGCCAAGATCCATCTGACATCAGTAATGATATCTCTAGTTCCATGTCCTCTTCTGAATCGGCTTGAGCCTCTGGCAGTTCCCTGTCAATGTACTGTTGCAACCATTTAAAAACTATTCTTCAGCAAAATTTTACTTGCCTGTGGTATTAATGATAATGCTAGATGATTTCCACATTCCATTGGGTCACCTCTCTTTGGAATGGGTACAAATAGGGATCTCTTCCAATCTTGTTGGCCAGGTAGCTGTCTTCCCAAATACTGGAGTGAGCGTCTCCAGTACTGAAAGGTTTTCATTTGTATTTCATCAATTCCTATAGCCTTGGGGTTTCTTTTTGCCAATACCTTTAGTGCAGCTTGAACTTCTTCCTTCAGTACCATTAATTCTCAATCATATGTTTGAAATGGCTGAATGTTGTGACCATTTCTTTTTGGTACAGTGACTCTGTGTATTCCTTCCATCTTCTTTAAGTGCTTTCTGCATCATTCAATATTTTGCCCATGTTGTTTCTGCTAAGTGGCATCATGTAGGTTCCACCTCATATAGTGACCCTGTACATTGTTTCCAAAGAACAGCTGGTGTTTGAACCGCCAACCTTTTGGCCCAAACCAACCTGCAGTCCAGTACCTTATCCTACAGCACCACACCAGGACTCCTTTTGTCCATTGAGTCCTTCAATATTACAACCCACAGCTTGAGTTTTTTGTTCAGTTCTTTCAGCTTGAGAAATACTGAGCATGAACTTCCCTCTTGGTTTTCTAACTCTAGGTCTTTGCACATTTCATTATAATACTTTACTTTTATTTCTCAAACTGCCCTTTGAAATTTTCTGTTCAGCTGTTTTACTTTCTCATTTCTTTCATTCACGTTAGCTTTTCCATGCTCAAAAGCAAATTTCAGAGTCTCTTCTGACATCCATTTTGGTCTCTTCTTTCTTTCCTGTCTTTTGAATAATAACCTTTTGCTTTCCTCATGTCAGATGCTCTTGATATCATCCCACAACACTTCTGGGCTTCAGTCTTTAGTGCCTAATGCATCAAATATGTTCTTGAGATGGACTCTAAATTCAGGTAGGATATAGTCAAGGTCGTATTTTGGCTCTGGTAGATTTGTTTTAATTTTTTTCAGCTTCAGCCTGAACTTGCATATGAGCAATTGATGGTCTGTTCCATTCTGCCCCTGGCCTTGTTTTGAATGATGATATGGAGATTTTCCACCATCTCTTTGTACAGATGTAGTCAATTTGACTCAAGTGTTTTCCATCTGGTGGGGTTTTTGTATAGTTAGTTGCCTTTTATGTTGTTTTAAAGGATATTTGCAATTGATAAGTCATTGGTCTTGCAAAATTCTATCGTGATCTCCAGTATCATTTCTATCACTAAGGCCATATTTTCCAACAGCTTCCTATTTTTTCCAACTTTAGCATTCCAATTACCAGTAATTATCAATGCATCTTGATTGCATGTTTGATCAATTTCATACTGAAGATCTTAGAATTCTTCAATTTCATCATCACTGGCTTTAGTGGTTGGTATGTAAATTTGAATAATAGTGGTATTAACCGGTTTTCCTTATTTATGTTGTTGTTAAGTGCCATCGGTGATTCCACCTCATAGCAACCCTGAATAGGGTTTCCAAAGAGTGGTTTGTGTGTTTGAACCACCCACTTTGCAGTTAGCAGTACAGTGCTTATCCTGTGGTGCCACACAGGTCTTCTTCTTACTGTTTTTGTTAAGTGCCATGGAGTGGGTTCTGACTCATAGCAACTCTGTGTAGGGTTTTCAAGGCTTTTAAATCTTGGGGAGAGCAGAAAGCCCCAACTTTTTCCCACAGAGAGGCTGGTGAGCTCAAATAGCTAGCTGACCTTATAGTTCAAATTTCAGTGAGGTTTAAACCTTGCGGTTCAAACCAACCTTGGGGTCCAGTGTATTATCCCACAGTGCCACACCAGGACTGGGAAATCCTGTGGGACAGTTCTACAGGTCACTAAGTCGGAATGACTCAATGACACTGGGCTTAGTTTTGTTCTTTTAGGGAAGTGTGGAGACCTAAGCACTATGTACAGTAAGACGAGTCAAGAATGACTCCAAGGTTTTGAAGAAGAGCTACTGGGAGGTAGGAGTTGTTAGGACTATGGGGAAGACTGCAGGGGTTGCTGAAGCAGATGACCATGCCCATTATACTGGAATGAGAAGTCCAGGTATTCAGGGAGCGATGCGTTAGTAAGAGAGTCTATGGACCAGGTTCAGGGCTGGAGATAAGGCACGTTGGTGTCGTCAACGTTTCCATGGTAATAGGGTACTGCCATTTCGCCATTCCCATTTCAAAGAAGTGAACACTGGGGGGAGGGGGCTGAGGGCTCTGCGCAGGAAGCCCCGGTAGGGGAGGAGTTTCAGGTCGCTTGGGCCCGGGTTGGCGCCCCCTGGCGGTTCAGGACTGGCTGCGGCGGTAACGGAGGCAGTTGGGATGGCGGCGGCGGCGGCAGCCACAGCACGAGAGCGTGGGGAGCCGGGCGAACCGGGGCACCGGGCCCTGTACTTCTGCGGGAGCATCCGCGGCGGGCGCGAGGACCTGGCGTTGTACGGGAGGATCGTGTCGCGGCTGCGGCGGTTCGGTACAGTGCTTACCGAGCACGTGGCGGCCGCCGAGCTGGGCGCGCGCGGTGAGGCCATTGGAGCTAGGGTGGGAATGGCTGGTGGGTGCGGGTCCCTGTCCCTCTCTACTGAAACTGCGCTCCCCGCAGGCGGTGACCGGCCGCGAATCTGCGAATCATCCTCAGTACCCAGAGCCCGCCCTCTAGACCCGGGAGCTGTGTCTAGCGTCGTTGCCCTAGGAGACCGTGTGTGTCTGAGTTGTGAACAATCTCTTCATTTCAGTTATCCTGACTTTTAGTTCCTTCTTGGAAAACATTTCTTCATTTCCTGTCAGGTGGACTTTGTAGAGAGGAGCAGAATGAAGTGGTGGGGCTGCTGCAGTCTTTGCAGTTCCCATTTCTCTTGTTTTTCATCCTCTAAACATATCTTCCAACACAGATCTGTTGGTTCTTTTGGTAGCCCATGGCACTTTCAATATTCTCCTCCAACACCAAAACTCAAAAGCATCAATTCTTCTATGGTCTGGTCTTCCTTATTCACTGTCCAGCTTCCACATGCATATGAGGTTATTGAAAACACCATGGCTTGGATTAGGCGCACCTTAGTCCTCAAACTGACATCTTTGTTCTTCAACACTTTAAAAAGGTACTGTGCAAATACAAAACAATAGAGGCAGATGGACTGTTACTACAAGAACAAACAAATTGCTTGTCCAGGAAACATCAAGGCAAGTGGTTGGGTCCCCTTAATGCAAACTCCCTTCCAAGACTAAGACTCAACGGAAATACACGCCCTGATTGGTGACCACACGCATCGCCAATAGGGGGAAGTGGGGTAAAAGCAGCAATGAAGCGGCAAGCTAAGTCCTACAATGTTCGGTGGGCTTCTGTGGACCCAGATGGGGACCTGGTTGGCCAGCAGTGTGGGGAGACCTGGGGACTCCTGGGCCCAGAGTCAGCGGC